ATGAAATCAAAGTCATATTTTGGCTCCTGTGGATTTGGTTTCATTTTCCTCAGCTTCAGCTGTGTTCAAGGATTCCCCTGAGAGTAAACTGCTGTCCCTTCACTTCTTGGTTCCTTTTCCAGATGAGTTCTCCCTCTGGCAGGTCACTGGTCACTCTGGTCTTATGTCTCCAAATTTGGTGATCTTAATGGAAAAACATCAACAATCTTTCTTAATAATTATAAAGAAAAACATAGGATTAAACCAATGGGAACACAAGTCCACTTACGATCCAATCAATGTGACCAAGTGAACAAATAAAGAACTCCCTTGACCAGGTCTTATGTAATGAGTGTGTCCCCAAGGTTGGAAATACCCCAGTACTGAGCCCAAGAGTGGGGTATGGGTGCTCATTGAAAGCAGGGCCAGCAGGTGCTTCTGTAGGATGCAGGGGTCAGGATGGAAAAGACAGTATCCGGAGAGAGGAGGAGAGGAGAGGAGTGAAGTCGGGATGGGAAAGGGGTGGAGCAGCAGCACTAAGAGGGTGGTAGCTGGCAGGGCCAGATGGTGTGAGTATCAGAGGGTGGACTTTGGTGGAATATCTGAAAACCCAGTAAGGTGCACACCTGTGTTTATTGCTGTACTGTTCACAATAGCAAAGGGATGGAAACAACCCAAGTGCCCATCAACAAACGAATGGTTGGAGAAGCTATGGAATACTATGCAGTACTGAAAAACAAGGAACTCATGAAATATACAAAATGGATGACCCTGGAGGACATTATGCTGAGTGAAATATCTTAGTCACAAAAGGACAAATGCTATATAGTAAAACAGGACTGACATCGGGGTTGGGGGGAAACTTAGAAAAGGGGATAAATAATGTACACTGCATTGAAACAGATGAAGGAAAGCACTGCTTAAAAGAGATATATGATTAGGTATTATTTGCATGACAACAGTCCAGAATAAGAGCTGCATAGTAAAGTGCACTAGGGTGGGGGGAGGAATTGTACAACAAAGAATTTTTTTTTCCAGAGAGAAAAGCAAACTGGGGTAGGGTGGGCAGGGAGGAAAATCTGCAACAATGAATGAATGGATGTCCAAGTTCTCTATAAACTTTCATTAAAATATCAGTTAAAAAAATATAAAACTTTTACAGCAAAACAAACAAACAAACAAAAAAACAAAAAGCAAAAACCGAACAAACCCAAAACACAAAGCCAAGCAAAACAAAACAAAAAACTTTTTTTAAAAAAAAAAAAAGTAAAGAGGAACAAAGATGACATGACACTTAGATTTTAGGACCTACTTGAAAGACATTTTAGGGCTCCAGAGTTTATGAGATGTTCTTAAGAATAGGGTGGGCATGCTTGGTTAGGAAGGGTATTTCAGGGAGGACTCAGGAGGGGCCTGACACCCCAGGTTGTGGGCATCTGATGAGCAGTTGGTTCAGAGGAAGCAGTGCCCACAGAGGGCAGATGTTCAGAGGCCTTGGCACTATGGGTTATCACAGCCCTTCCCAAGTGCCTGAGCCTCAAAACCACCTGGGGATGTAGCCAGAAAATAGATCCCAAGTCTAGCCCCAGAAATCCCTATTTGGACAACTGAATGGAAACCAGGTTGCATCTGAGCTTGAAACAAGACCTCCAGGTGTCACTGTCCTGAGGATTGACTGGTGGGCAAGTAAAACCCGAAGCATTACGTTTGGCTGGTCACTTAGCTGCACTTCCCCCTGCCCAGACTCAAAGTATGCCAAGGCGTTTCATGGCTGTTAACTGCTGGTCATCTATCTGCTGGTCTGGTGGCAGATTTGGACAGGGCTAGGCTGGCATTCGGAAGGCATGCTACCCTCCAGCCAAGAACTGCAAGTTATGGAGGCTGTTACTGGTCAGTAGGATGGGGAGAGAATGGTAGGCAGAGATGGTGCACCGTCAGCCTTGCCCACAGGTATCTAAATCCCAGAACTGTTTGTCTCCTCGATGCCCACAGCTTCCCCTGACCCAAAAGTCTCATTGCCAAGTCTAGTATCGCACTTCCAGCCTGTCCTGGTCAGCAGCAACAGAGCCGGAACTAGGCAAGGCCCCCCCACACTCTGAACTTGTGCTTTCAAGTAATAAAGTGCTGAGGAGTCCTGTCTGTTGAGTTCTAACTCCTGGTGGCCAGAAACCTAGGGAAGAACAGCCAATAATAGGGAGCTCTGGTGGCCTAGGAGCAAGAAGCTGCGCTGCAGTCGCAAAGGCACAAGATTCGAATCCACCAGATGCTCCGCTGGAGGAGGGGAAATCTCCTAGGCCAGTTGGATCCAATTCAGCGGTACACAAGGGGATGGGGGAAAGGACAGGTATTAACACAGGCTTTATCCTCTGCTATGTGCTCAGAGCCAGGGCAGGACAGGGCAACTCATGCTGACCCGCCCCTGCAGTTTTCCAAGGGGCTGGGGGCAAATGAGCCTGTACTAGCCCTGCAGGTGGGTCTGCCACTCACCCGAGGCCCCACCTCAGTGCAGGGGAAGGGAGTGGCTAGAAGGCAAGGGCGCCTGGCTCTCAGATCAAGGATCACCAGGGTAGCAGTAACTCTTCCTTCCCCGAACTACTCAAATTGAAAGCCCTTGTGGTTTCCTAAATCTCCCTCTCCCCATCACCTCCCTCAACTGCTTTCAGAATCAAGTGTAACAAGTGTCCTCTGCATCTCCCCTAAACCCAGACCTTGGCACACCTACTCAGAAGCTGCTTGGTTCTGCCTTCTGGTCTGCAGTTTTCCCCTCCTAGGCTTAGTGGTAAGGAATTGCACCACCAACCCAGAGTAATGTGGTTAGAATCCAAAAGCCACTCTGCGGGAGGAAAAAATGGACAAAATCCTCCTGTTGACTTACTGCCTCTGAAAACAAGTATGTTGTGATCTCTGATCTCAAAGGTAAACAGAAGGGACAACTGTAGGAACAGGCCTCAGCCTATCACCAAAGTACATGAAGAACCATTTCCTATGATGGCCACCAGTGTCCTGGTTAGAAATCTCATTTCACCTATCTGTCCACTTTCACCCCAAGACCTTCCTCGATCAATCCAGTCACCCACTCTCAACAAACTGGGGTGCCGAGATTTCCACTCTGTATCGTGGAGATCCCTGGGCCCATGCATCCAACCCAAGCCACGCCGCCTACGCACCGCGGCTATCCCTATCTCACCGGGAAGAAAGCAAGAACAATTCAAAGGTTTAAACAATTTATTATGAAAAAAAAAATCCCGTTAGGGTGAAGTGAGACGCAGCGCAACCCCGAGCGATTGTTTGTCGCGCACCCAGAGGCTGGAGGGTGGGGGCTGGGAAGGCGCGGTGGTCGCGTCCCGCGCGCCGAGGCCCAGGCCGAGCTGCTGTCGCGCCAGGCTGGCCGGAGCAGACGCGGCCATTGGCGCCTAGAGGCCGGTAACCATGACGACGGCCGTTGCCAAGGGCGAGAGCCAATAAGGGCGTCGCCGAGGCTGTTTCAAAAATCTAAAGCAAACAACAACAAAAAAAAATAACCCTCCGCGGTCGGAGAAAAAGGAGGATCGAGGAGGAGGGGAGTGGGGGGCTGGGGACGGAACCGAGGTCCCCTCCCTGCGGCTCAAAGCCAGTGTGAATAGTACAAAACCTACAGCCACTTGGGGTAAAAAAACAAAACAAAAGCAAACCCAGGAAACCGAAAAGACCCAGCAGGCCGAGTGGGCGCTTCCCATCGGGCTGCCGCGCTCACTTGCGGCCCTTGGGCACTTTGGGGACGCTGGGTTTGGCGGCCTTCTTCACCTTCTTGCCCCCTGCGGCCACTGGCTTCTTGGCTTTGCTGCTTTTGTCCTTCTTGGAGGCGGCGGCGGCGCCACCGCCCGGGTCCTTCTTGTGCGCGCGCTTCTCGGGCTTCTTGCTCTTGGCAGGCTTGGCGTCCGCGCGCCGCGGGGTGGCCGCGCCGGGGGCTGCCTTCTTGGCCTTGTGCGCGGCGAGCGCGGGCGTGGCGGCAGGGCCCCCGCGCCGCTCCCCGCCGCCCTCCAGCTTCTTGCGATTGAGCTTGAAGGACCCGTTGGCGCCGGTGCCCTTCACCTGCAGGAGGGTGTCGTTCTGCACCAGCGCCTTGATGGAGTACTTGAGGTAGGTGCGCCCGTTCTGCTGGTCGAACCACGCCACCTTCTTGGCCTCCGTGTAGATCTTAGCCAGCGACGAGCCGTTGCGTTCGCCCAGCCTGCGGATGGTCTCCACCACCAGCTGACTGTACTTGCCGGGCTGGTTCTTCTTCTTGCTGTTCTTCCTTTTCTTGGCTGGAGACGGTGCCGCTGAGCCGCCAGCCTTGGCGGCCTTCTTGGTCGTCCCCACGGCGGGCGTCAGTGGCAGGGCCTCCTCCAGCTCCACGGACATGGTGGCCAGCGGATTGGTGGCGGGCGGCGCACGGAAGCCGGGGGGCCGCGCCGGGAAG